GTCAAACTGCTGAACACCAAAGACAGACTCTTCTTAGCACCCAGGAAAAAAAGACATTCCACTCAGAGAATGGAGACTCAAATATGCCAGGCTTCTTATCACCACTGGAGGCCAGGGGACGATGGACTGTCATCTTTAAAGAAAAACAACTGGCCGGGCGCGGTGGCTCAAGCCTGTAATCCCAGCACTTTGGGAGGCCGAGGCGGGTGGATCACGAGGTCAAGAGATCGAGACCAGCCTGACCAACATGGTGAAACCCCGTCACTACTAAAAATACAAAAAATTAGCTGGGCATGGTGGCGCGTGCCTGTAATCCCAGCTACTCAGGAGGCTGAGGCAGGAGAATTGCCTGAACCCAGGAGGCGGAGGTTGCGGTGAGCCGAGATCGCGCCATTGCACTCCAGCCTGGGTAACAAGAGCGAAACTCCATCTCAGAAAAAAAAAAAAGAAAAGGAAAGAAAAACAACTGTCAGCCCAGAGTTCTATCTGGTGACAATATCCTTCAAAAGTGAAAACAAAATAAAGACATTTGCAGATGACTGAAAAAGGACAGAAGTCTTGGCCAGCAGACACACTGTACAAGATGGTAAAGGCGTATCTTCAGGCTGAAGGGATCGCTGCTAGGCAGAAACGCACCTGCAGAAAGGACGATAACTCTTCACAGCTCCAGGAAGTGGCGACATGTTTGCGAAGACACCTCTTGTTATTACCGTTTTATGTTCTCTGTTGTATGAATACAAACATTAGGGTGGCAGTGAGCCAGTTGCCTCAATGGCACCACCGGCCTGGTGGGTAATCCAGCCCAGTCCCCGCTGTCCCTGAGAGCTGCCGTCCAGACCCGTCCCTGCTGTCCCCGAGAGCTGCCATCCAGCCCGTCCCTGCTGTCCCCGAGAGCCGCCTTCCAGCTCCTTTCCTGCCGTCCCCGAGGGCCACCGTCCAGCCCCGTCTCTACTGTCTCCAAGAGCCGCCGTCCAGCTCCTTCCCTGCTGTCCCTTAGAGCCGCCGTTCAGTTCTATCCCTGCTGTCCCTTAGAGTCACCATCCAGCCCGTCCCTGCCGTCCCCAGGAGCCGCCGTCCAGCACTTCCCTGTACCGGACAGGCCACGGTCTTGCACAGCGGGACCCAGCATCCCAGCCTTACCAGTACTAGCTGGCACCCTTTCCCAGTGACTGGGTGGGAGGCACAGCAGTCTGGTGGGCACTTCCACCCCCTCTTCCACAGGGCAGATAGACACGGAAGGCCCCCAGCTGCCTTCACCCAAAGGCACTGCTCTTTTCCTGTGGCATTTTTTGGTAATTTCTGTTAAGAAATCCACACGTGGCCGGGCGCGGTGGCTCAAGCCTGTAATCCCAGCACTTTGGGAGGCCGAGGCGGATGGATCACGAAGTCAAGAGATCGAGACCATCCTGGTCAACACGGTGAAACCCCGTCTCTACTAAAAATACAAAAAATTAGCTGTGACATGGTGACACGTGCCTGTAATCTCAGCTACTCAGGAGGCTGAGGCAGGAGAATTGCCTGAACCAGGAGGCAGAGGTTGCAGTGAGCCGAGATTACGCCATTGCACTCCAGCCTGGGTAACAAGAGCGAAACTCCGTCTCAAAAAAAAAAAAAAAAAAGAAAAAAAGAAATCCACATGTTTGGCCTTCACCACGTGATGGAGACTTCAGTCATGATGATGTGATCAGCTGCAGACACAAGTCAGCAACCTGGGGCTGGTTCAGGAGAACACGGTGGGTCATGAAGTCCCTACTACACGCTTTCTAAATAGGCCTCCAGCAAAGCTCTTTGTGTTAGGCCAGAAAGTGGAAGATTTCTTACACGTTGACAACTAGCCTGCCCAGAAATGGGGAGCATAAAATTTAAAAAGTATTTATCCATGAAGCCTTCTTACAGATTATAAATAGCTGGAACCAAATGTGCTTTAAATCAAAGGCTTCCTATAGAAACGGGAGCCCCTGTGAAGTGCAGGGGGCAGGGCCTGTGTGGGGCCGTGTACAGCGTCCGCAGGGCACTGCGGTCTTTCTGCTTCCTCAGCACGGAGACCCCAACCGCGTGTAAGTCAGGTATGGGGCCTCGCCTGGCCGTCAGAGGGGCGCGTTCTCCCACCCAACCATCCAAAAGCAGATCTACACCCCGCCGTCCAAAGGAGGACTGGAATTTCTTTAAAGAACAGAATAAACCCCCGCATCACTCCATGGCAGTCAGTGTCTAACGTAAGTTTTAGCTGTTGGAAATAGAATAAAAGCTATGAAAGGAGTAAGGCGTTTTAGTTTTTCATGTCATCAGCTTCGCTAAAACCTGCTATTTAAAGAATCTTTTATCAGGCAGCCTTGCAATTCAAAATTCAGAACAGGTGAGGTTATAGGAGAACGTGTTTTCAGGCACCCCCAGCCGATGTGAAGGCAGCCGCGTCTGGGCAGACCCCTCTCCGCACGGTACTTGGCTTTGATGGCCCTGACTCACTGAGGCTCTTCGGGCCTTGGTCCCCTCTGATGAAAGCATGAGGCCGCTGCTCTTTACACAGGGCCTCTCGCTGTGTCGCCCAGGCTGGAATGCAGTGGCGCGATCTGGGCTTAAGTGATCTTCCCACCTTGGCCCCCAGAGTCGCTGGGACGAGAGGCATGCTCCACCACACCTGGCCAGTCAAAGAACAAAGCTTTTATTCTTGATGGATTTTTTAAAATCAGCTCCTTTTCCTTTCTCCATTCAATGAAGATTATGTATTGGGAACACTCCGGGCGTAAATTTACTTCTCGAATTAGCCACTGTGTGCAGCAGCTGCCTGGAAGGTTTTGGTGGTGGAAACGGAGGCAGAGAGTGCATTCTGCAGCCCTGGGGGTGCCCTCCCTCCCTCCCTCGCAGCCTCCTTGCTCCGGCATGAGAAGCAGACCCAGACTTTGTATTCTTTTACCTGTAAGGTGGCTCTGCACTGAGCACAGGTTGGTCTGAAACCATATCAGAGCCGCCACGGCAGCCACACACCTGATGCGGCTGAAGAATGAGCCGTCAGCGCTCCGTCCCCGGCCGTCTCCCTCAGGTCTCAGTGTCGATTGTCACCATTGCCTTCGCTGTGCTTTATACTGTGATATCAGGGTGGAAAAGTCACAGGCATATTCAAAGGCAGGACGGCGTAGGGAGCCCAGAACTGGACAGGCAGTGGGTCCTGAGGGCTCTGAGGCCCTCCCCACACCTGTGGCCTTTCATTCCTGTGGATTTCACTAGGCAGCGTTTCTTCCTCACGTCCTTAGTGGCATGGAATTCATGTACTGTAAAATCGCATTTAAAGCAAGCTTGTCCGCGTGCGGCTCAGGATGGCTTTGAATGCGGCCCAGCACAAATCCATAAACTTTCTTAAAACATGATGAGGTTTTATTTTTAACTCATCAGCTGTTGCTAATGTAGTCTATTTTATGTGTGGCCCACAGAAGCCAAAAGACTGGACAGCCTGATGTAAAGTGTGCAAGTCAGTGTACGTATTCATGGAGTCTGAGACCATGGGCACCGAGTTGAAGACATTCTGGCGGGGGCAGTTCACACCTGTTATCCCAGCACCTACGGAGGCGGAGGCAGGAGGATGGCCCGAGTCCAGGAGTTTAGACCAGACTGGGCAACATGGCACACCTCGTCTCTACAAAATATGCAAAAATTAGCGGGGCATCATGGTGCGTGCCTGTGGTCCCAGCAGCTGGGAGGCTGAGGAGGGAGGATTGCCTCAGGAGTGAAGTTGAGGCTGCAGTAAGCTATGACTGCACCACTGCACTCCAGCCTGGGTGACAGAATGAGACTCTGTCTCAAAAAAAAAAAAATTCTGACTGCCCCCGGAAGAAACCTGGCACTCTACTTCCTGTGTCTGTGGACTGGCCTGTTCCGTGCATTGCGTGTCCACGAGCCACATGCCATGCCTTCTGCATTGGACGTGGCACCGAGCACTGCGGGGGGCCTCCTCACGCCAGCAGCAGTGTGTTCTGCCTCTTGCGGGACCACAGGTGGCAGAGGGGTTCCTTCTAGAATCCAAGGGTAAGTTTTGCTGTGAGGCAGGGTCCGGTTAGAGAGGCCACAGGCTGAGGCAGGCGTGGATGCGTTGGACGTTGTGTGTTCAGTACATATGGGGAGCTCCGTGTTTGTGATGTGCGGTCCTCTAGACACCTGTGCTCCTCGCTTGCGGCTTTGCTGTCTGAAGGTGAGAAGCGGGTCACGGCACCACAGAGCCCCTTTAGGTTGCAATGGATTAGTAAAGACACAGGCCTTTCCCAGTCTTTCCCACTAATTCCTTTCATTTAAGATCCCTTTTCTCATGCTCTGTGCTCCAGGTAATGTGATGTCCTTTCAGATTGGGCCAGGCGCAGTGGCTCACGCCTGTAATCCCGGCACTTCGGGAGGCCAAGGCAGGTGGATCACGAGGTCAGGAGATCGAGACCATCCTGGTCAACATGGTGAAACCCTGTCTCCACTAAAAATATAAAAATTAGTTGGGCATGGTGGCATGTGCCTTTAGTCCCAGCTACTCGGGAGGCTGAGGCAGGAGAATTGCTTGAACCCAGGAGGCGGAGGTTGCGGTGAGCCGAGATTGCACCATTGCACTCCAGCCTGGGCAACAAGAGTGAAACTCTGTCTCAAAAACAAACAAACAAACAAAAAAAATTCAGTTTCTAGAGTGTGACCTTTTTGGGGGCATTTGATTGAAATAATTGACACTGCAAAAAAAAAAAAAAAAGTATTAATTCACTCATCCCCAAAATCTATGTTATTTAATTTTATGAGTCCATAGTAGGTGTTTCTGGAAATATGTTTTGGTTGCCTGTTCTGGGCCTGCCCGTGTGCGGGCAGTGGGGAGGCGCCTGTGCCCTTAGTGCCCGGCAGGCCAGTCCTCGTGGCCAGGCTTCCCTGACCCACACTGTCCTCGGTGTGCCGGGTGGGCTTCGCTCAGCGGGGAAACACAGTGGGTTGGGATCGAAACAAGCCAAAGTTTTATACCTGTTTCTTCTTTTGCTTTTCAGGTATTCTTTCGGTAAGTGAAACCCATTTAGATAAAGCTCTGTGGCAGTGGAGCGTTGTATTTGGGTACGTATCTTCACGCGCTTGTCTGGCCTTTCCTGTTGCCCGAGCTTCCGCTGTCAGTCCTTCCGGAACTGCACTGCTGACAGCGGTGAGCGCTGGTGACCCGACCATGCCTCCTCCCGGATGAGCGAGCTCCTGGGCTCCCAGGCCCCGGGCACTTAGAGACGGCCGGCCGCACGGGTGATCATGGGCGTCTCACAGGTGTTATGACCACCGCTTCCCCGGGGCAGAGGGAAAGCACCCCCAGACCCGCCCCCCGTGGATGTGGGGGGCTGTGTGCACATCTGCCTGGAGGGGTTCGGTGGCACTCACCGCGCTGACACTGGCGGGCGCTTCGGCTTGTGCTTTGTGTGACGGAGGGGGGGGAGGGCCTCCCCAGCCCACACCACATGGAAAATACTGGAGGCTGGGAAGAGACAGGACAGGGCTGGGAGGACAGTGGGTGTGCCCTCTAGTGGGCCCAGAGGCCTGCAGACAGTCGTGGGACACGGTGGGTTGGTAAGTGGACCTGACCCAGGACCTTGGAAGGATGACCACTTCCCACCCCTACCTTTCTCCCTGACTCAGGGCGCAGGCACAAGGGCCGGTCTCTGCTGGTGAAGGCCCCAGCCTGTGCCTCGAACTCAGGCGCTCTCCCCTGGCCTCCCTGGCTCTCCGTCCCCCTTCCTGCCTTGCTTCACTGCTGGACCAGCAGAGCGGGGGCGGCCTGTCCCCTTCACAGTCTCAGGCCTCAGGGCCTGGGTCCTTGCAGTAAGGTCGCTTTCTTCATGCCTTTATTCCTCACATATTTCCGTTCCTTCAATATTGAGCACCAGTGATTCGAAATTGGGACTGAATCAAAGAAAGGAAGAACCTCAGAATTTGTTAAAATGCAAATACAAAGAACCTTATTCCTGATCTATAATCACCTTAAAAGGCAGGTACGTGTCATTGCAGATGACCAGGCTGCCTCGGCCACCGTCACTCATGGATTTCCTGGCTGCTGGCCGCCCCATGGGCTCCACCTGGCTCAGGGCACAGTCAGGGCGTGCTTACACCTGTTCATTGTTTTCATGTTTACGTTTTCTTAAAGCAGAAAGCAAGGAATTATTTTAGGAATTCCCATTCCATTTGCAAATCTGACACGACCTGGTGGGAACCGGCTGGCTCTGTGCCTGCCAGTCGTGTGCGGCCACCTCAAGGGAGCGGAGCGCTCATGAGCATGGAGCCAGTAGACCTGAGGAAGCGCCTGGTGGTACCCCGAGTCCTTGGGCCTCCCCCGGAGTGCGCCAGGATTCGTTCCATGTCAAAATGCCCACAGAGAAAACCATATCCTTCAACATTCAGATAAACAAATCTTTTCTTAGTAAATTTTATTTATTAAAAATTACAACAGGCCAGGTGCAGTGGCTCATGCCAATTATCCTAGCAATTTGGGGGCTGAAGCAGGATTGCTTGAGCCCACAAGTTCGAGACCAGCCTGGGCAACATAGCAGGACCCTATCGCTACAAAAAAGGTTTGAAAATTAAAATTGCAATAGTATTGTTTTTTCTCAGTTCTTATGAGGAGTGAAACCTTTAGGCCCTGACCCCTGAATTTAGTGGGAGAAGTTCCTGCTGTCTGTCTGATGTTGGGAATTCTGAGCAGTGATCACAAAATTGAGTCCTATGAAGCAAGCCCACAGTGTACAAGGTCAGCGCCACTAGGGCTATGAGTTGGGGGCCCAGGGCAGGCTTGGGGAGCAGCGGCCGAAGCTGAGGTGTTCTCCGTGAGTGGGGGGCCCAGGGCAGGCTGGGGGAGCCATGGCTGAAGCCTAGTGTTCTCTGTGAGTGGGGGGCCTGGGGCAGGCTTGGGGAGCAGTGGCTGACGCTCTTGTGTCCTCATGAGGGATGGGTCTGTGAGGCCGAGTTGCTGCCCTGTCTTGGGATGGAGGCCATGGGAGTCATTGTCAAGGATGAGAGGGCCTGGGGCCACCTTCCCTGTGCCCTGGCCTGTGAGGCCTCCTGGGGTACACAGGAGTTGGCTGTTGGGGAAGCGCCTGGGGAGTGGACTCCCAGAGGCAGTGCTGGAGTGGCAGCGGCAGTCCAGGGGCCAGGTGTCTCTGGATCCATCCTCGCGTGTCCCCAACCACTTGCTGAAGCAGACGCAGCGCGGGCCGCACGGAGTTGGGGAGTGCACCCGTGTGGCCGCTGTCAGGGCGGCGCCTGTGCTCCCGGCCGAAGGAAGCCGCGCATCCATCACTGCTGGCGTGTTCAGGTGTACTTCACACAGTTTAATTGAGCCTTTCTAGCAGGTGGTCCTTCCAGGGACTCAAGCGGAGCGTTGGCTCCTTAGCGTTAATGTTTTCCTCCTGAGAGCCCTCGTGAGCCTGAGTTTCGTGTTGCGTCTGGCCCTGCGGCGGTTCAGCGCGTCACTTTGGCTGTTGCTCAGAGATTCGGACGACGCCTCGTGGCTTTGGCGGTGCCCTCCCTCCTTTCCTAGCGGCCGCGCGGCTCTGCAGCGTCCTGCCTTCCCTGATGCTAGAGGACACGGCGCAGCCGGTGACGGAGGTACGACGCCGGTGCTGGGCCGCTGAACGGGCTCCTGGTCTGAGGCCTCGTTTGGGACGCCTGGGAGAACTCCCTCGGCACGTGTGCTTCTGTGCTCACCTCAGTGACGTTCATTGTCTGTATTTTGCAAAATGGGGTTCGGTGGACATCAGGCAGCTCTGGGGGTATCACTGGGCACACGTGTTTTTAGAATTAATTTAAGCTAGATGAATTAAAAAGCTCCGGTCCTTGGTTGCCTGGGCTGCACCCCACATGCTCTGTGGCCGCATGTAGCTGTGGCTTTCCCACTGGGCGGTCCCAGACCCCCCCTTTTTTTCTTTGAGACAAGAGTCTCGCTTTGTGGCCCAGACTGGAGTGCAGTGGCGTGATCTGAGCTCTCTGTAACCTCTGCCTCCTGGGTTCAAGCGATTCTCCTGCCTCAGCCTCCCGAGCAGCTGGGACTACAGGCGTGCCCCACCACGCCCAGCCCCAGACCATTCTTAGCCCGGAACAGCCTGTGCACGCTGCTGGTCAAAGATGCTCACATTTCACCAGCAGCAAATCCTGCCCTCTGAGTGCTCACGGTGCTGCATGAGCTCCCTGAGACATGCGGGACGCTGCTGAGTGAAAACAGCTGCTGGCTGGGGAGTGGACACAGCCCGGTCGCTGGTGTCTGCCTTTTTCCCAGGGCCACCACATCGTCCACAGTGTTCACGTTTGTGTTCCTTTTGAGGCAGGGTCTTGGTCTGTCGCCCAGACTGGAGTGCTGTGGCGCAATCTCAGCTCTTTGACCTCCCGGGCTCGGGCGATCCTCCCTCCTCAGCCTCCTGAGTAGCTGGGACTACAGGCGCGCCACCATGGCCGGATAATTTTTAAACGTTTTGTGGAGACGCGGTCCCGCTGTGCTGCCAGACTGGTCTTTGGGTTTCTGTTGGCATCTCTGCGATGCTCTGTCCTGGGCTCTCTGCCCCAGGGCCCCGTGGCCTGGCCACAGGCGGATGCGACTGCTGGGCAGGATGAAGCTGTGATCGTGGGGGCCGCGCTTTCCAGCACACAGGAAAACCACAGTATTTGTTAAACCCGTTCTGCCGTCTGTTTCTGCTGGAGTTCAGATAGGGCTGAGCTTTGAGGGCTGCTGAATGTGTCACATCCACTTCAAAGAAGGAGCCTACCCGTCATGAATTCTGAAGCCCCAAGTGCCTGCTTCCTGCCGCCCTGCAGGGAGCACACCTTTTGATATTCAGTGAGCCTGGATCCCGGAGGCTCTGAGCCTCCAGCTGCCCTTCCAGCTGCCCTTGCACGTTGGAAAGGAGGCAGGAACGCAGAGGACCCGCCGCAGCGGGCAGTGGGGGTCCACAGGGCAGCCTGCTTTCCCTCCTCCGGGCCAGGCTGCCTTTGCCCGCACCCTCCCGGCAGCGCACGGTTCCCCAAGTGTGGGCCCTGTCCCCCAGCGTGGTCCTGTTTCCTGAGTGTTGTTCCCATGTCCCCAGCATGGTCCCCATTCGCCATGGGGCGCCAGGCCTAGTGCCTGGTTCTGTAAGGAGAGCAGGCTCTGGGAAGGGGCTCCCGTCTGCAGAGTTTGGTTAGGTTTAAACAGAAAGGCCGCTGCCGTTGTTCAGGGACTGAGACCAGAGCCGGGCCCCAGTGCTTCTGGAGAGGCTGCTTTCTGCCCCTCCGAGGCCTGGGGAGAGATGGCCAAACTTGAGGAGTGGGCGCCGGACAAGACAGCATCGTGACCCCACTGCCACTGGGACGAGACCAGGGAAAGGAGAGACTTGTGGTGAGGAGTCCTGGAACCGGGGGCAGCCCTGTGTGAGGAGGGGGGCAGAGGCCACGGGGGCGGGGCGGGGCTTCACCTGGCTCAGCTCTCAGGCCATTTTGCAGGGTCCTTGCACGCAGATAGAGTTCCAGAGGAAGACTGACAGGTTCCCAAGGCCTCTGGAGTGCTTCAGGCCCCCAAAAGCATTTTGTAATTTTTTATGATTTTAGCTTGATGAACCTGGATGTGTGTGGGTATCTACCTCCAGGCAATCCCACCCCTACCTTGCACCCTTGGGCCCCCGTGGGGGCGTCGGGATGGGCTCGTGCAGGGGACCAGGCTGTTGATGGTGACTGCCTGTGGGGACGGCTGGATGCCTTTGCCCCCCTGCTCCCTCAGGGCAGCCAAGTGAGGGTGGCAGCTGGGGGCATGCAGAGGAGTGAGGGTGCTGGTGCCCAGGGAAGGGTTCTGGAAGGCTCCACGCCCCTGGGATATTCTTTTGTAGGAAGTGGGTTCTGTTTCTCACTGCTGTCCCATCCAGGTGAGAGCTGGACAGGTCAGGGCCTGAGGGAAGTTGGGATCCTTGGAGTAAGAAGCTTCCTTGAGCAACGGTCAGCTTATCCCTATCTTCCATTGAGGAATGACTGGTTTATTCTCCTCTCCCATTGATGAATGATTGGTTC